CAGTAGCTGATGCGAAACTCGAGGCGCCCAGTCGTATTCTACTGCTGTTCGCCATTGGATTGGGTCCATGTATGTGTTGCGGGGGTGCACTAAGGAATTTCCCGGTCAGTTGAGGTTTGTGACGATGCCTATGCATCTACCGCTGCCGGATTCTACAGACGAGTTAAAATTCAAGTTACAGCTTATCATTACACAACATTACCACGACCACACACATGCATGTCAAGCTTTTATTTATAGACTAACTCACTCAATGGCACGCCAGAGAATACCTGTAGTTTTACTAATACGGGTGGGACTATGTAGCGAAATTATAACCTTTCGCTCCCATCCACCTCTACATCTAGAATGATTTGGCGTACAAATTAAAATATATTCAACAGCAGAAAATTTTGTTTTTGAAATTATTTACATAAAACAAAAATTTAAATTCCAATGCACAAGTTATAAGTTTTCAAAAAAGAAAAAAGGCATCTAAGTGGCCTGGCATTCGCTGCCTTGCTTACGCTAGCTCTACGATAGCAACACCCCTGTATTGTGATACTACAGGAAATAAACACTCATGTACACCTTTTATTAATGTTATATATATATATATATATATATATATATATATATATATATATATATATATATATATATATATATATATATATATGTGTGTGTGTGTGTGTGTGTGTGTGCGTTTCTCTATTTATTACGTTGTTTAAAAACAATGATTTTTTTTTTAAATTTAATTCAGCAGTCACATTTGATCCTTGTTACGGAGTGAAAAGTATTGACCCCCGACCTTTGTGGACCCTAACCTCTGGACTACAGGTCATGTGTGACACAGTGACAGACGGTGGAGGATGGACCATTTTCCAAAGACGTGTTTCTGGGACTGTAGATGTTTACAGGAATTGGACTGAATACGAATATGTGTCTGGTGATTTCAGTTCAGTTAATTTTTACCTGGGCAACGAAAATGTTTATTTGTTTTCTTTCAAACGCCAAACACAACTGAGAGTTGATTTGATCTTCAACGGAACAAACTATTTCGCCAAGTATTCCATCTTCAAACATATCTAGCGAGGCAGATGGCTACAGGCTACAGGTTGGTGGCTACACAGGAAATGCAACAGACGGTCTAGTAGACCACAATGGTATGAAGTTCACAACGTTTGACCGAGACAATGACATGTACATCCAAAACTGCGCTCCCAAACACGGCGGGGCATGGTAGTACAAAGCTTGCTACAGCTCTAACCTGAACGGTATGTGGGGTCTAGAAAACATGGGTATCAACTGGCTACCCAGGTACACGGCATCGTTCAGTGAAATAAAATTTAAACATATTTTTTAAGGATTAAATGTGTTGTTTTGATTAAGTGTGGCTTTGATATTAGTAAGAATTTAATTATCATTTTAAACATTGTTTCTTCTAAATGTTTTTTGGGATTTTTTGTTAATAAAAGGGTTCATCACAAATCAGACAAATGACAACGTCCTGGTCGAAGACATGTATTTGGATATTTTTCAATACAATTTCAAGCATTATTTATAGTAATAAAAACGATTCTATAATGAGTAGTTATGTAAAAATGCATCACATATTTTTTTATGTTTCTTTACATTATTTTAGTAGAATTTTTTGCTGTAAAGATTAAAGTTGTTACCCGTTGTTTATATTTTAATATTGTGTGGGGGATCTGATCCAGTCTCTTTTACCTACATCGTGATTTGAATTTTACATTGAGAGTAAAACAATTTTCAAAAAACTATATATCTTCTGTTGTTTTGATATTTAAAGCATATTACATTTTCGCAATAATGTATTGGGGAATTAATCACATAAAATGCAAGTCTTGAATAAACACAAACCAGCGAGATGAGTTCATCACACTATTATACTATTTAGAGAAAACAATCTTGGTCCATTTTAAGTACTTTTGTTTCGTAATTATCGTCTTTAAACATTGATAACAAACATGAATAGCATTAGTAGAGACAAACTCCTCAATACTCAATTTATTTATTAAAGAAATAAAAAGCATCATGATTAGATATTTCATTGTAAATAGAAAAGAAACTTTAGCTTGACTAACCGGCTCGAGAACTGCAGATTTCCTCGTACTCCATCGGCAGCTCTACAATAAAAAAAGAAAAAAAGAAAAAAAGAAAAAAAAGGGGAAAACAAAAACCCTCTTTGATAAAACGGATAGGGAAATTGAAATTCCAGCTGCTCCACTTGAAACAAAAATTCAAAACGTTTACACGTTTGTAAACAATATCAAAACGGTTACATTTTACTGAGATTTCTTGGACTGAATCGGCACACGTATCTGTTTTCTTGACCAGATCTCTGATGACCACATCTAACTCTTCCAGGCGTTTCCTGTTACCAGAACTTGATTTTTTTTTCTTGTATTGATGTCATCATTTGGTTTATGTTATGAGACAGTTGTCTTCTCCATTGTTCTTTTTGTTTTTTTCTTTTCCTCTTAAAACTTCCATGTTTTTTTGTACCTCATCTATTCGTCTATCTTGTTGTTTTGATTTCCTTGCTTGTGATTTTAGCTCGCCTTCAAAACGTGTGAGTTGATCATTGACTGTGTTGATATTTTCCTCTATCTGGATATATTTTCTTTCTATTGAACCAGTTGTCATGGCAGTGGTGTCTAGCTTGTGTAACAGAGACTGGAACTCTTCTATGGTCGCTGGATACAAAATTAAAAATAATGTTTAAAATTGGAGTAATTTATAAATGTATTAAACTATAAGAAATAGAAAATAATTGCTTTATTTTGCTTGTAATTAACTACAAATTAGAATTATACCAATGTGTTTAAACTTTAATTGTAATATATAAGCGTTAAAATATGTTTTTTAAATTTTAAAACTTAATACATTTATCTATGTATACAATATATACAAAAGTTTTTTCAAGAGAAAAAATGTATGCACATTGGTGCCTTAATGGTGGCATATTAAAGGATTTTACATACCGATGTACTGATGTATCAGTCTTTAAGAAATCAGTAATACATAATTGAGGTTGCAGGTAATTTACCGGTTTATATTAAAAGAAAACCTGAAAAGTAATAACTGCACACTCCAGTAGCTAAGAATGCCGACATTTGTTCTAATGTTGAACTAGTTGTGTCCTCCAATTGTAGCATCATTTATTTAAAAGTTTTGATGACATCGTCTTTCAACCAGAATTGGCGTTCTGCAATGGTCTGTGATAAGAGAAGTAATTAAGAATGTGTAACTGTTTTTCTATTTAATATTATTAAATTAGATAGATAACTGATTTGAAGCGTCGATCATAAAGTATGCATTAGCGAGAATGTAATCAATTTCATTGTTCATTACAACTTAATGTAGTCCTTATAATGACTGATCTTCCATATTTGACTTACTTGGTTTAAGGAGAATAATATCGGGTTCATGACATCTCTCACTAAAGATTGTCATTTCCGGTGCTAGTACATTAAATTAAAAATTACTCGGGTGTATCTTCTATAATTAGTTGTGTTGTATTTCGCAAGTTTGTCTGAGTTTTCTGGTAAACAAATATTTTGGTATTTTTTACAATATAAAACCTTATAGGAGAACGACACTATCGTTAATTACTTAAATAACAAACAGAGAATAAGTTAATGCCAAGTTCTGACATATGTGTAACCCATGACATTACATTGTAAGTAAAAATACTTGCACTAGCCATCGCTATAGTCGTTGTTTGTGAAGTTACTCGTTTCACTGTTGCTAGTAGTCCTTACACATGTCTTTAGCTCAAAATGAGAACTTTAAAGTCCGATATAAATTATAATGTACCCGTTCTATTTATAGCCTGCTATAAATTCTGATGTACCATTTCATACATGTAATAAACTCTAACAAAAGTATAAACTTACCTTTGTTTGACAATGGGAAAATAGTAAATGTGTTTATGTGTGGGAGTGGGAAAGGAAGGGGTGAGGGGGAGAAATAGGATGTGGGGGTTTTTATCATTTTTTTCAAATAGAAGTATTCATTATATTCATTACGAATATTTAAGCTTAGTTTAATACGGACTACACCAGTATTTATCCGAATTTCTGTGTCGATCAACCCAAAACAAATAATTAAAAATTAAAACATAGAAACATTGTTGTATGATATTTAAGCTACAAATAAAACCAAAGATTGCAATTAAAACAAACAAAGTCATGCTATCCTGAAGGTTTTAGGGTAACAATATGTCTCCCTTACAAACGAGATTAGTCAATAACCTATCGTGAATTGTTTTGGTTTATTTTACCTAATATTAATGGTCTATCGTATCAATCAATATCTTTTGATTTATAATTTTTATGTTTATTCACATCGAAGGAGACTGACTTATTTTCTACAACACAACAAAATATATGATTTTACAATTCAAATACGCGTTAAGTCACTTTAAGTATGAATCTTAGATATCTTCCTATCAGCGGTGTTTGATAATAAACTTCTTTAGTTTGTTACTAAACAATCTAGTTGTTGATAGCTCACGCTTAGCAACCCCTTTCAGCCACACATGGTGAATTATAAATCCCTTCCCCCATTTATAAATATACTTTTTGCGTTGGTTATAAAACGCCACGTTCTCTCCCCTCTAAATTTGGAAAGGTTGGGAAACTACTAGTCATTATCCCTATAGTGTAAAAGACAAGGGAGTGAATCGGTGAAAGTTGTTTGTGTAAAGTAACCAGTTGCATTTACTTTCACCCGAGTCAGAGCAGGTAAAACACAGGTATGTCCATTAAACTCGAGTCCCAGATTTCAACTCGTGACTTCAAGGTCTGTAGTCCAGTGCATTACAGCCTCACCAAGCCGTCCCACAGAATGCTTAGTTATTTACACGTGATACGATGTTTTGTTCAACAAGTGAAGCTTAATTTGTAGTATTGTAACTTTAATTTTAACAATAGTAGTAAATAACTCATTAGGGTTATGCTAACTTTAGATTTATTGCTTTTCATTGTTCAGTACCTCCCACATATCTCCAACCTTAAAACCTTGAGTAAGAAATTATATTTTCCTCTTATTAATTACATTCAAATACATTATGCCTATTTCCATTTGGCTCTGGTTTAGCTAAGGCTTTAATGAAAATATTTGAAAATTTATACAGCTTATCAACAATAATATTCGTTAAAATGTATGGAAATAGATGAAAATATTAATACGCAATAAGTAATTGCAAACAGTTTAAAGTGTTATTAATATATGTAATTATTTATGTTAAAACACTTAATTTTAATATTGTATGCTTAGTGACAGTGATAATAATGCATGAAATATAATTTATTTTAACTGACATAACTTTAAAATTTGTATTACCATGTTTTCTAAAAATAAAAATAAAAATACAATATATAAAATATATCCAAAATAATGTTAATAAATAATATATTACACAAAACGACTGAAATAATATATTTTATAAAGCAGATTCAAGCATCTGTAGCAAAACCTGAACAACGTGTGTTTGAGTGTATAACATCATGATGTTATAGTACGTGATCTATAATCTAATCATGTAAAAATGCATAGTGTATATACCATTTTTGTATAACATTATTTATTATAGTTGACTTATATAGTTGAAAAATAGATTGGTTGGATAAGTATTTTATGTTTTGCTATATTATTTTATTCATAAGTAAACATAAAGTGAACTGTAAAGTAGATTAAAATATAAAGTTATTCATAGAAAAAATGAAGTTACAATTTTTTAACTGACTGTCTGTAGTGCAGTTTCTGTGACATTTTGAATGAAAAGATGAAGTGGTCAGCACTATGCGTATTCGCCATTACTTTTTCTATGATGAGTCACGTGTGCATCACAGCTGGCAGAAATCAGCGACGTCTTACTAAATCAAGCCAGTGGTCGGAAATCGTAAAGTTTTACTTAGCAATAATTAACTCAGGTCTCCGAAAATGTCGTCCCATATATTGGCAAATAGAAACGAACTTAATGTTGAGAAAACTAAACTGATTATTGCAGGTTCACGTATCAGAAAATGTGGTCCGATTATTTGGCGAATAGCAGCAAACTTAATGTTTAGACAACTAAACTGATTTGTTTGAAAAAACTAATATTTTATAAGGTTTAGATTTAATTACACAATATATCTAAAATCAACATATATGCGCTACAATATTTTTACTTTGTCAAAAAATATCAGATTTTACAAACCATAGCTAAAGATCGGGCGCTTTCTAATTCGTTTATTTATAAAACATTGTTCCTGAAAATTAACATAAATATTTCTTTTAATCCTCTAATAAGATTGTAAAATTAATTTCCTGCGTTTGAAGTCTTGGCTTTTAAACATTCTTATAATACCAATGGAAATTATGCTTTCCTTTTCACAATAGCTAATAGTACATTTTATTAGGATTGAGAAACACTGTGGTAAAAAAGATATTCGGACACGATTTCATAGCTGGTTTTCAACAATTAGTGATGTTTTTTATTTTATTGTATACTTTCTTTAATATAACTGTTAAAAAATGTGGCTAAATGAGTTTTACAATGATTTTTATTAAAGATATATTTTGACAGTAAACTGATAAAAAAAAACTTATTTTTTTACATTATATATGGCTAATTTGAAGCACACATTTGCATTTACTATAAATATTTAACACTTTCATCTTGTTTAATGCTTATCTAAAGATTTATTTTGTATCTTTACAACTTTTACATATCCACGAACAGCTCAAATATTTATTCACAAAAGATAGCTACAGAGTATTTGTAATAATAAGCACAAATCATACAATAATAGTCATCATTTATAAACCGTCTGTTATAAACGGATCTTCTCTCAATAAATCTTCTGCAGATGGTCTTTGTTCTGCTTCAGGTGTAAATGTCTTTTCTAAAAAATCTCGTAGGTTTTTTGACGCTGTGATTGACAGCTCATACTTTGGTCTCTGCAGCATAGCAATTTTAAAAAGTACCCTGACTGATGTCGTTGTTGAGTTTGGTGGTGATCCAGTTATCATCTCTACAACTGTACTTCCCACACTCCTAAGCGAATTTAAAATGTGCTATAATATATATTGCACAAATGGAATATTGGAAAAAACATGTGTGCATATTAAAATTAATTTGTTTGGAATCAATGTCTGTTTAACTTAAGATGACAAAAATAATAATTGTTGGTTAGATTAGTAATATAAATTATACATTTTTATGTTAGTAAAACAAGAAATGCATTATATATTTTAGAATAGTTTTTGGTTTTATTCTAAAACCTATTGTTATTTAAGTATTATTTAAATAAAACATTCTCACCAAATGTCCAAGCTGCAACAATGTTTAAATATTCTACCATCAGGGCAGTTAATCATCTCAGGAGCCATATATCGAGTTGTGCCCCTTTCTGCTTCAACTCCTTCTTCCTCGTTAAGTATTGTCGACAGGCCAAAGTCTGTTAGCTTAATGTTTGATTCGTCCACCATTAGAATATTAGTACCTGTTAAAAATGTAAATAATTTGCTCAAAATTCTGTAAATTAGTTTTTTTTTTAAATGGTTGCACTTGGAGTAAAAATAATTATATTATTTTGTAGTACCTTTGATGTCCAAATGCAAGATGTTGTTTTCATGTAGGTATTTTACGCCTTCCAGAATTTGAATTGTAAACTGTCTGGTCAAACCTTCATTGAGTCTTGTGTGTTGTTTGATGAACGTGGAAAGGGTGCCCTTTAGATATAACACAACCATTGTCAGTGAAAATCAACTGACATTTTAATACAGTTTTAAATTTCTAACGTGAGTATCACATAATACAGTGGTGATTAGTAAAGATATAATGTTTTACCATTTTTAGGTACTCCAGAAATAAGATTATATTATTTTCTTTCCTTTGATACCCATGAAACTTGACTATGTTTTTGTGTTTCAGTTTAATTAGAGTTGAAGCCTCTAATTGTAAGCTCTCCTGATTAAAAAGAAATAGAATATGTGTAAAGCTGTAAATATATACTTGCACGCAGTCAGTTATATATCACAGAAGTGCTTGGAAATAGGTAAATAGGCCTACAATAAAGAATTTCTTATACTAACCTTTGTGAAATTAGATAACTGACTATTTGATGATATACGAATTTACATACAACATCTATGCTTTATTATTTTAAAATTTAGCGTAACAAATTTCAACGCATGTCATCATATGATCGCCCCTACGTACCATCCACTTCTTTTGGTTATTTGGGTCTGCGTGTGTTTTCTTTGCAACAAATTTTTCATCCTCTGGTTGATCTATATCCACAACAAGATGGACGCTACCAAAACCTCCTTGACCTAACGACGCTGGTTTAATTTCAAATTTCTTGGGAAACTCATCAGACAGCACAACATCTATAGATATTAAAACGAAATGTCCATCAAAAATGATGACATTTGGACAATCCACAATTATTAAATATTCATTGTAGTACCAGAAAATGTCTTAATTAAATGTAAATTAATCTATTTATCTGCTAGCTTCTTCTTCTTTTTCTTCGTTCTTAATTATTAGTGTTGAAGGGGATCGAGATTTATCTGCCAGTGGGTTTGAAGTCGAGACTTTGTTCGAATTTATCAACCATGAGCTTTTTGCGACTCGACCACGCCTCCAACACAATTAAGCGTTACGTGTCAACTGGTTATGCGACATTGAGGCCATTGATTCCGATTTCAGCCTGCTTTTCTTTTTTGGATTTGCTTCCGTAGCCTTTGTCCAACCAAGAACAAACTACAAGGCAGCAGTTGTTTAATTTTGGAGTTGTCTCTATTAGAAGAGTGGCTGTCCTCAGCTAACGAGCCTCATCTGCCCGAGGGTTCGAACTTGAGACTTTTTCGGTTTAGCAGCCATGAGCTTTACCGACTCGACCACACCGACCCCTATCTGCTAGCAAAATACAACATATATTATATTTTTAACCTGTTTTTGATGGCAATATTCCTGTTGTACGTCCAGCTCTCCAAAGTACTGAATGTACGTTAGCAGAAAGATCCCCATTATGGCTGTTTATTAATTCTATTAACATGTCATTTAATTCTTCGTCTGTGATGATTTTCTCACTTCCCTCTTTATTTCTACTTAGTTCTCTCAAACATTGTGTCGTAAATATTTGTTCATCAGGATCATTATGTGTTAGTATTTCTTTTAAGTGCGGAAACAATGGAAGTACCTGCCAAATTTTTATGAACATAATTTATAAAACGATGCTATGTGTTCTCTTACTGAAACAAACAATACATACATCAGTATTATTAAATTAAAACAACAACTAGGTAAGAATTTATATATGCCAAAACACATGGAGGTGTGAACGGACTATATTACGGACTATATTACGGACAATTATGATAACCTCGTTCAGCACATCCTCATTTTGTTCTAAGAATTTTGCCAGTCCTTGAAGGAGCTCAGATCGCGAATATCCTCCTAGATCCTCTTCATTCCTTACAACATCTCGAATCAAAGTTTCTTTTAGACGATGTTTTAAATTCTCTGTAATATATTAAATACATATGCCAAACGATTCATATTAATTCTAAGATAATAATAATTTGCTAGCTAAATAAATAACTATAGAAAAATAGTATTATTGCACGTTAAGCAATTATAAGGGCCTAATCATAACAAACTTATTAATTCTAAATTCTGAATTATATTTACATAATATTTTCATAATTAAAATGCACGAATTATGGTTTACGTGTACAAAATTGTGTTATTGGTATTCATAATTTAACTTATATTTTCAGGATTTTTATGCTTGTTAATTCGGTATGGGTGAAAAGTTTGAACATTGAATCGTATACGCATGTTTAAATAAACTTTGCGTCATAACCATAAAACGCATAAATAATATACTTTTAGCAATAATTATAATGTAAGAGCACACATTTTAGTTGCTCAAAAAAGTAAGTTATTATATATTAAAATAGGACTTTTTGACAATGTGATTTACATGAATAAATTATTCATGCTTAATCTTTAAAGTTTTTTATACAATTCTAATAAATAAAAATTATTAAATTTTGGTAATTTTAGTTGATTAAAAGGCAACACTGCATAAAACAAAAAAGGGGTAGTTAGTTGCAGTTGTTATAAGGTTGTATCTTCAATTTCTAAATTTGACTTTCTTTCACTGTTTAACTATTTTACTTGTTTTTTCTTTTCATTGTGCTTCAACTAATATCCATTTTGTTTTTAATGGTTTATTATTAAATTAGAAAATGTTTTTAATTAAATTAAATGTATACATAATTATAGAATTTCACAGAGAATTCGCAACTATTTTTTTTCTTTAATAGTAGGATTTTTTTTTGTTTTAATGTATGATAGTAAGTGAAAAATGTATTTAACAAAATAAGTTTTTTTTTTGTAACTGAAGTATTTTAATTTCAATACTTGTTTCTTAATTCGGATAAAAAATATAAAATGCAACTCGGAAACGTTTTCTACGATGGGCATGACATATAAATAATCTTTCTTGCAAATCTATTTAAAGAAATTGAATTGATAATATTTCGTAAAATATTAAGCACGAGAAAAATGGCCCGTTGAGGAAGGATACAACGGGCGCTAGGTTGATAGTGCTATTTTCTCTAAACTAAAACACCCCCTACCCCCAAAACATATCTACCGTCCCATTCAACGAAATATAATTATATACTTTTTCCAGTGTCCTGAAAATTCTACCCCCGCCCCCGAAAATTTCAAGTACCCCCACCCCTCTCCGGGGTGGAAAAAGTCTGAAAAAACACTGGTCGCATTTGTAGATCATACAAACAAAAGGAAGAACCTGGGCGGGGCTTCGCCCCTACCGGAAGAGATACATAAAAAGAGCTAAACACTTTTTAGATTAGAAAAATTTCCTCAATCCGGGAAGGAAAAAGTCAGAAAGAAAAACTTATGTCGCGCTTAGCCACTACCCGAAGAATTGCATGAAAGTAACTCTTCATGCAAACCACTTAGATTAGACAAAATTGCCTTTTTATTCAATGTTTACTCGAGAATCATTGACGTCATATTACTGTGTGCACTCTCCGGCTTGATATTATTTTCTACTACTTAACGTCATATTTCGTTTCCGTATTACTATGCATGTTTTTATTTTGCTTGTGTTTTCTCTACAGCGTTCTTGTCAGATACATAGATAGATACACAAACAGCGAAACTATTAGTATTAATATATTTGACAGATAATAGACCAATGCTTAAATAATTACTAAATGCCCCTGTATCTATAGGAGAATCCTCTTGTATATTTAACAGTAAAAGTGCTGCATCCATAGCTACGGCTTTTTCTTTGAAATCCATATTTTGAATAACCTGTTGAAAATATAACTGTATTAGATTTCTGAAGGCATTTTAGAATGTATAAAATGTTTAGTATATTCTATTTTTGAAAGTGCGGTATTTCAATTGAATGACATAATGCACTGTTTTATTTCAGTTAGTCAAAAAAAATATCGGCTGATTTAGACGATAAAGTGCAGTTAATTTGTTTACTAAGATAGTGTGACTAGCTCTACAGTCAGCTGCCTTAACTTTCCCTACACATGTAGCATGTACCAAGCAGAGCAGAGCTTGGAGTAATAAGGGGCGTTTTAAAGAAAGAGACTGAGCGCAAGTCATTATATTTTTTAATAATGTTAATATTGCTATTTTTTGGCGATCTTTGTTTTGAAAACAAATATTCTAGAGAAAAGAAAACATTTTGATTAATACATTGCAGTTCATAAATGACTTTTGTGAAATACCGAAATTCCATTTGCAAAAAAAAAAAAAATAGTTCACAATAAAATATTTTCAAAATTTGAAAACAAAATTAATTGCTTGTTCAGATGGCAGCCGTTCCCATCGCTCCCATATTTTCAGAAAATGTTCTGATGCATGCACCTATTTGCCCGTAGTTACACTAACGTTGGAGCAAACATATAAATACAATTTTAGTTAAGAGTATTTTTTTTTCCGTAGTATAACTCTTTAACATCATGTATACATTTAATATGCATTTAATGTTACACTACATACAGCTTTTAGACGCATATTGTATATCGTAAACACAAAAGTGTTTGTTTTATCACAATTATGTATATTTTCTTTAATGAAAAAATATTAATTATAATTTCTTGAAAAACAGATTCTCACTTGTTAAAAGCATAATCTTCTTCATTACAAAGATTTCTATCTTTATATTTAAGAGATTTGAATATTTGTTATTTGTTATTTATTTATTCGGTCTATTGTATACGTAAATAGTACAGTATATATTTTGTCTCTACAAAAAGTTAACATTTTAATATTTTTATATCTCTACATTTTTGCGATGTAAAACGATGATGTACAAACACATTTCATATGCAAGCATTTATTAGAATATTTACTTACACTGTACGTGTTGTTCATTGAGAAAAAAATCTTCGCGCCCTTTCTTCGGGCAATGTTATATAAAATGGTAACAACTTGACTAATGATCCATTTAGATTGGGAGTTCTGTAATTTTAAACATTCATATTTAATTAATTGTTTTTCCTACACAGCTAATGTTTAGTAGAAATTTTCACGTATATTAAGTCAGCAGATCATGATTTGGTCCAGTGCTATAAGAAACCGATTAGTACATTAAATTGTTGTGACATAAAATGAAGAGTCTAGAATACTGTTATCCAGCATCAGTATACCAGCCATTAAAGTATAAGTATACACGTTCGGAGAATTGCAGGCTGATACACTTTGAATAAAATTATCAAAAAAGCAAATAGCACACAATGCATTGCTTTGATGATAAAGCTGGGAATAATAGAAATATCGGGATCCAAATTTGGAGCGAGGGTTGCAGATGTTTTTCAAATATGGCTCACATAGGGAAGTGTGGAAGTTGTAATGAGGCTAACGTGTGTAGATAAGGCAATCATCATACAGCAGGCGCAATAAGAATTAAACATTAATCTAGTTGGATGAAGTAATAGAGGAAAAGATGATTTATGTAACTCATTTATTGATTTTTTAAAAAAACAGCTCAGTCTTACATCTAAATCAGCTATAAAACAAACAATTTTAATAAAATAATAATTAAGAATACCATGCTTAGAAATTTCACAAATATATTATTATTAAGCGTGTTATGCAAAAATGCTATCAATTCAGTTAAAAGAGAAATTTTAAAATTATACGCTTATATTTTAAAATTACATTACCTGTACGTCTTTGTAAAGGGTGAGGCAATCTGTAAATGTTTTCACAACGTCCTTCTCTGCCAAACGCTGCAATTACGTGTGGAATAAAATTCTTATTAGCTACCTTTTTGCACAACTAAAATAAAATGTGTTTTTCTAACCGCGAAGTTCTAATGCTTTGTTTAATAAGAATAAAAAGATGTCTGTGCAATAATTACCAAACCAAACTCTGTACTATGATGACTAACTACCGCTTATCAACAGACTCAACATATCACGAATTAAAGACGTGCTAAAACCTGGTGCCCTTGTATCAAGAAGATTTTCATAGTTTAAACATCTCGACGTTATATCTGTAACGATAAAGTATCAAGAACATGTTTCGTTTTTTTTTATTTTAATTTGTATCTTAGTCAGAATTAAAAGTTCTACTCTTGAATTATATTTTTTTTTGTTATTCTCTGTAAATAATAATTTTCGTTAGAGTGTACGTTTGCGCCGCTCACAAAAGTACTGATCGTGTGTCGTATAAGGGTTTGATGTTTGCCATCTATTTTATATAAGGCAAACTTGTGCAGTACATAAGTACGGCACGGCTAGTATGTGGTCAGTTGTTTAAATCTTTCATGCCGATTCCCAATCCCCCACGCGTATTTATCCCCCCTCCTTACCTCAAGTCAATTACCCACCCGAACATAACCTGTATCAGAGAACTGCAATAGGACATTAGCTCCCTCTCAATCAACACCCAGACATTTAGATGAAGAGATAATATAATAATTTGTACAGGTACCGATATAGGCACAGGTAAATAACAGGTACATCTATTGGCATTGGTGTAGCTTCAGGAATAGGTAAGGGATATGAAAAGAGTTAGGGTAATAGGACATTGGATGAGGAAATAAAATAAGGGAATCAGTATTCAATTAAAAATTTTCAAATCAACTAAAATCTTCAGATTCACTATTAAATTTAGGTGTGAGATATTTTGTCTGAGATCGATTGTCCATGGTATCATTTGTCCTGATATATTTTGTCCTGATATCTTTTGTCCGCGAGATCATTTGTCCTTGAGATCATTTGACCTAAGATCATTTGTCATGGAACCATATATATATATATATATATATATATATATATATATATATATATATATATATATATATATATATATATATATATATATATATATATATATATTACCATACACGTATATTGCCCGGAATTATGTTTGATAATGTCTCTGACCCTTTTATCGGCTGAACTGACAAATTAATACATTTCTTGATTATAACGTTAACTTACGCTATAGCAAACCAACTGTTAGACACACTATTATATTTTAGCTAGATACGGGTATTTTCCTGCCCATACTGTTTCTTGAATCGAATCAATGCAACAGTTTTAATACTACATTTTCGTTTTAATTATAAACATTTGTTTTTCTGTGTATTTCACGAGACGAAAGTTATTTAGCATACCACAATTTGTTTGTACAGTATTTGATTTGAAATTCTGTCCATGCGACTTAAAATGACCTAAATTAAACTAGATTTTTGTGTGGGCTAATAAACACGGCCGTTATTTTAAATTAGAAAATGAAGCACGCATATAAAAGCAACAAGTAAAAATCTCAACGATGAGAAAGTCTGGGACCACAAAGTTTTGCCCAAAATGCAGGTTAAGCCAGCAACATAAAAGAGAAACAAAATGACAAAGTATGTGGCAAAAACTTTATTTACTATTTTACTTCTTAAGATGGACGGAGTGGTCTAGCAGTAGAGAGCTGGACTGCTAACCCGTAAGTCTCGAGTTCGAATCCGGGTTCAAGTCAGTAGACCGTCCCTGAGTCTATCTCTTCATATGTCGAGGTCACAGAAACAAGTGAACTCTACTTCACTTGCCCCATAGACCGTAAGGTTTGAAAGGGAAACTTTACTTTACTTACTACTTCTTAAGATGTAGAATTCTACAGGTAAAATCGAGGTAAAATATGTACTATTGGTAAAATCTCATATACAACGATGTCCGTATTGCCTAAGGCGACTGAACAAACTTGGAGAGACACAGGCAGTGATTCAACATACGAGTAATAACACAGACTGAATGTAAATTACGAGTACAACATAATTATAACTTCTATACTGGTGTTTAGGGTCCATAACATCAAGCTTTTATCATTTGTCAGTCTTGTCACAAAAAAAAAGAACGACATTTATTTATGTAAGCTAAGACACAGCTCTTACTAAAATAAGACGACAAGCTATAAAACTAAATTACCCGCATAGTTAAGATCTAAGAGTAGTGTGAAAAACTTCAGATTATCTTCCGCATTTAGAATAGAGTAAATTGTCCTCAAACACCTCTGACACATGAAGAAATGTAAAGCGTCAAAGTCTCTCATGTTCAAAAACTCTGACATAACATCAGAAACAAACTCCTTTAATTCATAATAGTTTGTTCTCTGGAAGTAAAAAAAAAATTATGTTTTAAAATTCATGTTATTAAATTATTTTTAACATTATTTACAACACAATGCTATTTCATTCGGTCGCTTGTTTACGGGTCAGTCGACCCCTGGTTCGACAACCGACTGACTGACTTCGATCAATTTTTAACCATACGCATGCTTCAGTACTAAGGACTAGCCAGTGTACACACTAGCAAGAGTAAGCTAATTTGATGTGTGGACAGAGACACAAAACAAACAGTCTAGTTCAAATCACTGTCGGGGCCACTAGTACGTTGTGAAAACGGATACGCCTGTACTGGTGATGCAGTGCGTCACGCAACATACAAGACGAAACATCAACAAACGGGTTTTAAAAGACTAAATAAAAAACCAATTGTTAATTATAGAAATGTTAATACTATATACACAATAATTCTAAATATACATACGCTTTTACGCAGACTAAGATATAATGAATATCTAAGAGAACAGAACTAACCTACACTACCCTTTTTGGGAGAAAAGGAAGAAACAGAGCAATAAAACACGCTCTCACATACCTTATAAACTCTTTAAGCAAACAGGTATAAACCGGACTGCACATCTTACAGTACGAGGACTGAACAGAGACGAATATGAGAGGGTACAACGTATAAAAAACATTCACCCACATTCATCACCCTTCACTCTCTATATATATTCATATATATATATATATATATATATATATATATATATATATATATATATATATATATATATATATATATATATATATATATATATATATATATATATATATATATATATATATATATATATATATATATATATAAACAAACTTCTACTTAGAACTGTGTTAGTATTATGCTTAAAATTATCAAAATGTTTACTTCACATTTTTTTTGCAGAATGTCTACTAAGTGATCCACATACTTAATATTTATTTTTCATACAAACGGTGAATATCTTTCGTGTATCTTTCTAATTTGGGTATTGGTCCCATTTGAACAAGTGTAATTTCGGACATATGTAGGCGAAAATCCGGATCCCATAGTCAAGATTTAACTTTTTCTTTGAACAAGCAAAGTATACACACAGTGTAGTCTCACATTTTTATATCATCGCTCAGATACGCAACTCTGAACTGAGGCCTGGCAACACATAGCGAGTCGACGCTGTACAGTAAAGTAAACTTGAGACCTTTAAGAAATGTTGTTGTTTTTTAACTTACCTCCCAAATATAATAGCTCAATTTTAGAATGTTTATTAGATTTATTAATACACCGCGTGTAGATATATTTATATGTAATTTTATTTTCGAATTCTTTATTAACTACATGCTATTTATTATTATATATAGGACCCACTAAGTTGTAAAAATGGGACCACATCAATCTACAAATTTACAGTGAATGAAAAACAACTTAATTGTGTACAACACGCATTCGACGCTCTTTATCTTAGCTTAACAGGATATGTGTACTTGAAAACACGAATGTGATCCAGATAAGATATGAATCAACATTTAGATTCAACGATCATATAGTTACTTTAGGACATATAAACACAACACCCACAGTTAAAAGTAATATGGCAAACAGGAAATTTAACATTTTCTATTAGACTATGAAAGATACATTGAAAGTATGAAATTTACTAAGACACTTATAGAATAAAGTTTGACTGGCTCTGTTCTGTCAATATCGTCTTCTATATGGTATCTTCTAAAATATTTATAGACAATACCTTATTATTGTCTAGAGTCTCGACGACTTGAATCTGCATATGAGAAGATGTAGTTGCTTACATATTTTGTACTTCGGTATCTTCAGACGCGTCAACCTCTTTTTTTTATGTCGAAGTAAAGACATTCAGTTTGAAATATATGTCTCTTGTTTGGTCCACGTGGATGATGTTTGTTGGCAATCTGAAATGCCTTTCAATTTCTTCCTTTCCCATCCTGAATATTTTTTCTTTACTGGATTTAATTACATTTAGTAACCTCTAAATTAACGAATTATGTTGTCTTAGTCACAATATATTTAGTGGGATACACCAAAGAATCTAAATGGGACATTACTTTTTGATAATTACCTACTATTTGAAACAAATTCTAAAGTTACAACAACGGTCAGTTTTAGTTTAAGTTGGTTTTTTAATACGATATATAGCCTTATTTAAATTTAATATAGATCTAGATCTAGTAAAATAAAATGATGTTTAATATACATTTGCTACTGTTTGCTGCATGATAAAAATCTTGTAATTTACATCGATGTGGGTCTAAACATATTTTTATCAGTTTAAAAATTTGAGTTTTAAACGTTTCCAATAAAGGCGCCAGTTTGATGAAAATAGCCAGAGGGGGAGCAGCTCCACCACCAGCTCCACCCCCCCCCTCCCACCTGCGATCGATATGCCTAGACCCGCTTTTTCTTACATATAAATACATACTTTTACTCTAAGAATAGCCATGCAGTCTGAATATCAGCATCATTGGTAGGTTTATATAAGCCCAAATTTGAATGTTTCCCATACAACAAACAAGTTGTCGAATTGCACAATAGACACCCACGGACCAAACAAAATAACTTCTATACAGCGTCCCATAATAACACGTAATTTTCATCGGATATTATTTTTTTCAAAAGCGAGTTAATATATTGTGCATTTTGGTGTTATACAAACAATAAAAACTTCCTACCTGATTGTTGTGAGACAGAAGAACAGTCTTTATATAGCAATCGATGGATCTGTTGTTATAGAAATCATCGATACACAAAATGTGCAGTATTTGTTTGGATGCATTAGTTTATAATTTTTTGTGATGAGAAAACAAATACACATTGCCTTGACATGTTTCAATAACAATGGTGTGGTGATTTGTATAAATGGTTCGAAAAATTATGTTTAACTACTCTTTCTAAAGCTTTCATATTTACAACACTACAGCCTTAAAGGAATCCCGACCATTCTCCTCACGATCGAATATCGCGTAAATTTCATTTCGACAGTGGGGTAATGAGAGTTTCTTTCCGAACGAAATGAAATTTATATAATTTATATAGAAAATATATACTTTTAACAGTGTCCGCCCCCCCCCCGAAGAAAGTCTACCGCCCCCCCACCCCCGAAAATTTCAAGTGCCCCCCCCCCCCCCCCCGGAGAAAAAAGTCTGGAAGAAACACTGGGGGTAATATCCTACTTAAGCTTATTGCGCAGCGTGTGCGTTTGATAAGGTGTTCATGATCAGATGGGAAAATAGATGGTAATTGTTACTGGTCATGTTCTGCGCCCAGGTTAAATAAGTTCGCTTGTCATAATGGTAATGAACGAGGTGATCACGGGGTATTGAGAAGTGTTACATTTATAGACAAAGTTAACAGCACAGTAGGCCTATGAGTTTACCTGTCTAGTACCTTCTATGTGAGAAGTTATACATTGAATTAAGTCTCGCGGTCAGTATTAAAATATATGTAAGCCTACTGGCGTATGTAATTTGTGTTATTTATAATGTTAAATCTGTGTGACGGTATTGTTTTAAAGTAAATTATAATTTAAATATCACTTCGCTGTTGCATGTATGTAATTTTTGTTTTTTATTTTGCTGTTGGAAATGTCCAGACATGTTTCTGTAAGCTACACAAATTACATACCTTTTAACGTGGCGGACTTCTGCGTCGTTTTGTTCACTGACGGTTGCGTCTCTCAGTTCGTTTTTGGTGACGTTTTGTAAATCTTGTTTTAGTGCTGGTTATTTAATGAAAATAAGAGATTTATATATATATATATATATATATATATATATATATATATATATATATATATATATATATATATATATATATATATATATATACATCCATTTTCTTCCACGAAATTTATGTCTGCTACTGCTTTAATAATAGTATCTAACACCTTGTCGTGTCCATTTTGAGATGCAAGCATTAAGGCATTCCATCCATGATCTTCAACATGATATGTAAATATATATATATATATATATATATATATATATATATATATATATATATATATATATATATATGTGTATATACATATGGGGCTACGACAAATTCCCGAAAGACACTTGCCCGAATGTCGTTTACCCGAAGGCCGACTTCTCGAATGGACACTTGCCCGAATAGGACCAATGTCGGGCAAGTGTCCATTCGTGCATTAGTCGCATTCGGGCAAGTGTCCATTCGGGCAAGTGTCTTTCGGGAAAACGTCCGGCTCCCATAAATATACAATTATATATATTATAGACAATACAAATATGAATGTATATATAGAACAGTAACATGTCTATATCTATATAAATAAATAAATAAATGTATATATATATATATATATATATATATATATATATATATATATATATATATATATAATTGATGAATTATATATACCTTTTTCAAATAGAGATATTAAAAAATGAAACATTGTTGTTGATGTCGTTTTACCGATAATTTTAAAGTTCATTGAAGATAACGTATCAATAACATGTTTCTGTTTATTTTCAAATGCAAGAAAGCACACATCAATTAATTCCAACAATAGAGTCGTTCTGAAGCTAAACGTATTGAGGCAATCTTTATTATCATTTTTTCGATCACCTAAAAATGAAGAGTCTTGAGCGATTTCATTTACATAGATTATGTCAGCTCCCTCATTAATAAGACTATCTACCACCTTGTCGTGTCCATGGTTAGATGCAATCAATAAGGCATTATTTCCATTTTGTTTTACATGGCTTATGTCTGCTCCTGCTTTAATAAGAATATCTACCACCTTTTCGTGTCCTTTTTTAGATGCAATCATTAAGGCATTATATCCATCTTCTTCCACGATATGTATGTCTGCTCCACATTTAATTAGAATATCTACCACCTTGTTGTGTCCATTTTGAGATGCAATCATTAAGGCATTCCATCCATTATCTTTCAAATGATTTATGTCTGCTCCTGCTTCAATAAGAATATCTACCACCTTGTCGTGTCCATTTTGAGATGCAATCATTAAGGCATTCCATCCATTATCTTTCAAATGATTTATGTCTGCTCCACATTTAATTAGAATATCTACCACCTTGTCGTGTTCTTCTTGTAATGCAATCAGCAATGCATTCCATCCATTATCCCCCACATGATTTATGTCTGCTCCGGCTTTAATAAGAATATCTACCACCTTGTCGTGTCCATTTAGAGATGCAATCATTAAGGCATTCCTTGTAGCATCTTCCACGTGATTTATGTCTGCTCCTGCGTTAATTAAAATATCTACCACCTTTTCGTGTCCGCTTTGAGATGCAATCATTAAGGCGTTCCATCCATTTTCTTTTACATGGTGTATATCTGCTCCTGCTTTAATAAGAATATCTACCACCTTTTCGTGTCCATTTTGAGATGCAATCAGTAATGCATTCCATCCATTTTCTTTCACGAAATTTATGTCTGCTCCTGCTTTAATAAGAATATCTACCACCTTGTCGTGTCCATTTTGAGATGCAAGCATTAAGGCATTCCATCCATTTTCTTCCACGTGATGTATGTCTGCTCTCGCTTTAATAAGAATATCTACTACCTTGTCGTGTCCAATTAAAGACGAAATCATTAATGCATTCTTTCCAACATATTCCACGTGATTTATGTCTGTTCCTGCTTTTATAAGAATATCTACCACCTTGTCGTGTCCATTATAAGATGCAATCATTAAGGCATTCCATCCGTCATCTTTCACATGATTTACGTCTGCTCCTGCTTTAATAAGAAAATCTACCACCTTGTCGTGTCCATTTTGAGATGCAACCATTAAGGCATTATAATCATTTTGTTTTACATAGTTTATGTCTGCTCCTGCTTTAATAAGAATTTCTACCACCTTGTCGTGTCCATTTTGAGATGCTTCAAGTAAGGCATTCCATCCATCATCTTCCACATGATTGATGTCTGCTCCTGCTTTAATAAGAATATCTACCACCTTGTCGTGTCCATTTTGGGAAGCAATCATTAATGCATTATATTTATTTTGTTGTAATTCATGTATGTCTGATCCTGCTTTAATAAGAATTTCTACCACCTTGTCGTTTCCATAGTGAGATGCAAACATTAAGGCATTCCATAGTTTATCGTTTACATGATGTATGTCTGCTCCTGCTTTAATAAGATGATCTACAACATTGTCGTGTCCATTTCTAGATGCAATCATTAAGGCATTAAATCCATCATCTTCCACGTGATTTATGTCTGCTCCCGCTTCAATAAGAATATCTATCACTTTATCGTGTCCATATAAAGATGCAATCATTAAGGCATTATATCCATCTTGTTTTACAAAGTTTATGTCTGCTCCTGATTTAATAAGAATATTTACCAGCTTGTCGTCTCCATTTTGAGATGCAATAATTAAGGCATTCTGTATATTATTTTCGACATGAAGTATATCTGCTCCTGCTTTATTAAGAAGAGCTACTAACTTTTCGTGTTCATATTCAGATGTAATCATAAATGTTTCATATCCATCTTGTTTTACATAGTTTATATCTGCTCCTGCTTTAATAAGAATATCTACCACCTTGTCGTATTCATTTTGAGACGCAGTCATTAAGGCATTAAATTCCATTTTGTTTAACGTATTGGCCTTTTATGTGCAATGCAGAATGTTACACGCATGTTGTTTCCTTTTTCAGATGCATCAATAAATGTCGCACGGATGGTGTTCAAAGTTGCGTTTCGTGTTCAGACCAATTATATATCTCTTTATTCACGTGAAAACTTGAAAACGAATTCACGAAAACAGCACTCATATCATCAACTGAAATATAAATAAAATTATATATATATATATACAATTATAAATAAAAGTATTAAAAACATTGTGTAGGAAAATAAGAAAATGGTGAAACAAATACAGCAAAATACTTGCAATAAATTGATTTGACACAAAGTCAATTATTATAAAGAAAGAAGTAATTTAAACAAAAATAGTTTATATGGAAACAACGCTTTACGTTTTACCAGAGGCGATTTGTATATAAATAGTATGATAAAATATTCTTAACTATAAATACGTATTGAACTCAGGTTCTAGAGCAATCCACAGTCAAAATTGAATCAGTCGGCGTGACAATGGATACCATACTAACATGCTCGTCCCGCACGTTGCCGCGGGAATAGAAGAAAGTCCCTGTGTCGTAGCGTGGGTAGATTAAATTAAATAAGACTTGACTGTTAGAGACTAATAAGGACGGTGTAAACATGACGGTAGACGATTTGGTTCGAGAGTATGTGCCCAAGTTTAATAAAATATTTGTGGCGTGATTGTGACCTGAGCGTGACGCAAAATGTTACCGATGACGTAGGACGCAGGAGTGAGGACAGTTGGGGGTTAGCCATTGTAGGAAAAGGACGTCATTTTATATTGTGTAGTATTAGTATTTAATAATAAAGTTAATTCCATTTTATGTTCGAAGTTATTTATATCATTAACTTAGTGTCGTCGGAAAATAAGAGTGTTCCGTCCTCATCACATATTTATAGTAATGTAATTGGAGTGATAGTTACAGGAGTAGTCATCAAATAGATTCATATAGCAACGCATACATTTCCCTCACCACATATTGTTGGAACACATAGTGGTTCTTAGTTCCGATACAAGAAGTGGTGTTTTAAAATGATCCGAGTTGACCAGAAGTGAAGTTTGAAACAGATTCGAGTTAACCAGAGGTGCTGCAAGATCATCGATAGGAAGCAATGATAAGTACCTTCCTCTAATTTTTTTAAAGTAGCCGGGATTGTTTTGATCCTGTGCTTGTTATTCAGTAGTTTTTCTTCTTCGTGTTTGTTTTGTGTTTGTATATTGTTGTTAATCTTAAATTGGCTGAGCCTTCCCAACGATGTGACACACTAAGTGTATGCCTGCCTTTTAAGAAACACATATTGCTTTTAGCGGAAGAAGTCCAGTTTGTACTATCGTCTCTCTACCGCTATTGTTACCGTAAGCCCTGTATTATTGTTGTGATTATCGCGTTGTCTTCTATATGTGTCGTTTATCGCTGTTCGTATAACGCTTAAACTATTTTTGTGTACAATTATTTTGTGTGTGTGATCATTCTTAAATTATTCAAATTATGACTGACCTCGCTCAGTTTTATTAGCTAGGCAAATCGCTTGAAAAAAGTGGCGCTGAGCTAGAGGCATGGGTTGAAGAAAAATATAAAACTATCACGGCTGATAAAGAACGATTTGCTCAAATAGAAGCAGAAAAATGTATTAGGATTGAAATGTAAATTAAAAAACTGGAGTTAGAAAAAGAAAAAGAAAGAACAAAAGTGGATTTAGAAAAAGAAAAATCTATCATGATACAATGATGTTGTTGAATCAATATGACAGCGTTGATATAAAAAATACCATGATACAATGATGTTACTGAACCAATATGACAGCATTGATATACAAACCCTTTTAAACAAGGATGTTATCAAACCAATATTACTGCGCTGCTATAAAAACTATCATTATACATGGATGTTATTAAACTAATATTACTGCGATGCTATTTAAAACTATCATAATATAAGGATGATCTTAGGATAAAAGAAAAAATCTAGACTGGAATTGGCTAAAATAGACCCTGAGAAAGAAAAGGCTAGAATGGAAATGGAGAAAGAAATTGAAATAAAACGGTTAGAAGTCAACAAAAAAGTACGGAAGCAGAGCAGAATACAACAACACCAACAAATCTGTCAAGAACCATGTTATATAAAATGTCTAAAAATGTACACAATAAAAACGACACTGATGCCTTTATTCGACGGTTTGAAACGATCGCCAAGCCCGAAAACATAACCGACAATAGGATGAGCCAACACTTGCTCACCCTGGTTGGTCGAAGAGGACTCGACGCCTGCTACACACTGACAGACGAAGAAACCAAATATTTAAAAACACTAAAACAGACCCTATTACAATATTATCACCTGGTGGAAGACTTACCAACAAAAATTCCACAAACTTCAACCTAAGAGAGACAAAGATTTCAAAGTGTTTACTAATGACTTAAAATACACAAGAAAAATGGATTGAAGCAGCATCAATAAACAAAACATATGAATATTTATTTCATTTTGTTCTGGTCGATAAAATATTGAATTCCGTCCACAGCGATTTGTACTCCTTCTTACAAGAAAGAAAACCTAGGGACATAAAGACTGACACATGAATGACGCAGACATTTATAGCGGCCCATCAGATTAGTCCACTATGCAAAACGTATAACAAGACATAATTTACTTCACCATTCATGACACATGTTGCCGACAGAAGTATAAGTAAAAATAGGTACGAGAACCATGGACATCATCAATCCAACAGACAACAACAGACACACCTGCCAGACATCAAGTGCTATAACTGAAACGGAATCGGTCATTAACTGCGAGTCTGCTGAAAGCCCAGAGGGCAGTGCACATACAACAACAACCCGCCCCGCCCCAACAACTCACACGGCAGACTAATGTCTAAGAATGAATAAGTTGTAATAATGTGGTACAACCATACAGCGAAGAATATGTTACAGTGTCCATAGGAGGTTGAATAGCTTCTGTTATGTAGTCTACTTTCAAAGGCAGAGAGATGCTCCTGCACTACAGATATGTGACATACAATACAACACACATGTCTTTTCTTTAAGTGTATCTGATCTAATTCTGTTTGAATGCCAGTTTTTTAGTTGATGATTATAAAAATGCAGTTACAATTATTGTTGTTATTTAGCGTGTCGTGGAAAAATAACCAGCATATCGAAATTGGGTGGGTTTTTTCATCTCAAAGAGGAAGGTTATTCGTCCGACGGGCACAAAAACGCTTAACTGGCATATGTTTAAGACGACATGCCCGCTCATATTTTTCTCAGAATCTGTCGTCATCTTCGTGAATTGCCACACACCCTGACGCCCAGCGTAAATGAATTCAGCGGCATAACGACCAATTAATCTGCAACGGAAACCACGGTTGCAAATATGCTGAGGACGAGTGATAACACATTTACAAGGACAAATTAACGTGAAGATATATAAAGCGCATCGTTAAGGACACGTCAGCAGGAACACGCCAATTAACACATCCAGAGGAACCGAAACGAATTGAAAGAGTCATCATAACCAGATAACTGAAGCCTTACGCATGGCCGCGGTCAATTTTTCGACCAAATCGTAACGGCAAGGGTCATCATTACCAGATAACAGACGCCTTACGCATGGTCGCGGTCAATTTTTCGACCACGTCGTAACGGTAACTTCAGCTAATAATTTTCTTTACAGTTACAGAAGCTGAAAAGAATCACGTTTTTTGTGTTGATAAAGCTCGAAGGAACATTTTCACGTCGGGTATAACAAGGGAAACTGTCTATGCTGGTGATGAGTTGTGTTCATTTTGTGGAACTGTGTACAGATGAAAAAGATTTATTAAGTGGTGTACATTTTGTAGAACTGTCAATACAAATGATAAAGATTCACAATTCTCTACTGACAGATCAGGATACAGCACGACATTATTGTCGTTTTTAATTATTTAAAGGCTGATATTTTTGTTTTTGAAATGTTCATGTAATTACGCTATGAATTTGTATTTGTACGGTGAATGACTAAAAAACAGAAAAAAAACTAATACAGTTAGTTTTTTTTTTAATTGTAAGGGAGGGGGAGATTTCATAGCAAAGATAGATACAATAAGACTAGACTTGTAGATACAAATAAGGACGGTGTAAACTTGACAGAAGACAATTTTGTTCGAGAGTATATGCACGTGCTTAACAATATATGTGTGGCGTGATTGTAACATAAGCTGCATAACGCGACAATGTTACCTGAGTGAGTTGGGTGAGGGTGAAGGAGGCATGGATGAGGGTGAAGGTGGAGGCGAAGGCGCAAAGAATATATAGTAAAATACTCTGCCACCTGGGTGAGGTGGGTGAGAAGGTGGGTAAGAGGGAAGGTGGAGGCGGAGGCGGAGGTACAATGAGATATATATATACTCACCCACCTCACTCAGGTGAGCGGCTGGTTGACGGTTGGGTGAGCAGGTGGGTGAAGGTGGAGTAGGTCAGTAGGTCAGGTGAGGGGAGTGGCCTTGTGACGTAATCACCACGGTGACCTAGTTACATAAAGTCCATTATTTTTAAATTCAATGAGTTTTTTTATTTGTTTGTTTTTAATTAGTTTTTAATTATTTTTAATTAGTTTAATTTTTAATTACTTTTAAAAAAATTTAATTAGTTTAATTTTAATTTTTTAATTTTAATTGTTTAACGTTTTAATTTTTTAATTTTTAAAAATTTAAAAATTTAAATATTTTAATTTTAATTAATTTTAATTTTTTTTTTATGTAAAGGCTCGTAGCCGTTAAATTTCTTGACTTTGACTGCAGCTAAAATGAGCTCTTTTTTCCAAAGCATTTTGGTGCCACTATGGTCGGCGCACGGGGACATATGTACCCCCCCCCCCCCCGGCTCTACACCCCTGTAATATTGACTTAAAACTTAAAGGAAGTGAGACATATGTAATAATTTTATGGTTTCTTTTTATTAGAATATTTGTTATATAGCCTAACTATAATTCGCTGGTATTATTTATTAATTTTTTTTTCAAATTAAATCGCACAGAAATATAATGTTAAAAAATAACTATATATATAATAACGTCTGCATGCTACAATAGCGTTATTGACCCGCCCTGAGTTACTCGACTTGGGACCATATTATTGTTTTTCAAGAAGTAGCATATTTTAGATCTCCGATGCAACTGTTAAAATAAATTTCATGGGCTCCATATTTATTTGTTCAAAAGCATGTTATGTGCTTTTTCTTTGGGTATTAAAGTGACTACTATGATGCAGTATATTTATTTAATTTATTTATTAGAACTCTCCACTTCTCCCCCTCCACCCTGCCCTGGATTACAGGGTCTGCCAGCAGAGTGTATTCATACACGAATTATAGCATATAGCTTAGAGTCAGTCAGGACATTTCAACACGTTAATGAGTAGAACAAGACCCACACCTTTTATCGACAAAAATGGCAAAGTACCATCCCAACACACCCATACCCAAAAGACATACGTAGCTTCGGTACACAGCCTTACCTTCCCCAATAATATTATAATTTTGCATGACTACCTACAGTCTCTTTCTTGCTTTATAAAATATACTGTGTAAAATCTTGAAATAAGCCTTATAATAAGCGGTATCAATGCAAGTTAGGGATATCAATGCACGACCACTGTTTTAATAAATAAAATAGTGTTAACACATTCATAATGTTATAAGCTTACACGCCATATACTAAAACGTAGTGTTCTGTCCCGCTCACCTCATCCCTTAAAAAAACGTATTGCAAGAATGACAGGTTTCATTAGCGAGCCAGCGCTTACCGTCATGCGACAATGTAAACCGCACAGTCCTGCTCGCGTAGGGAAAAACAAGTGTGTACAAGCTTGCAGTGTGTAGCACACTATCACACGCGCAGCTCTCATGGTAAAACAAAAAAATAGGTCACGAGTGCGTGTGAGATTATTATAGACTGACAAATTCGGCTACTTCAATTAACTATGATTCCATATCTACGTGGAATAGTTTTAACGTCTAGTATTTGTGAATACTTTTGCATACAAGCTTGAAATAAAACTGCGAACTTAACAAAACTTAGAATTTAACATCAGTAATCACATCTCTCCCTTGTGGCCAACATGGCGTTAATGTCGAACTTTGGTCTACATAAATATACAATCACATTCCTAATTATTTAATTAAGCCTGACCACAATCCATGACAATACACTTGTAAATTTACTCATCAATAAATCAAACTAACTTATTATAGAATAGGCCTACTTACGTTTTAGTTGTGTATGGTAATTGAGAAAATAATTGACTTCTAAGCTACAGCGCAGATTCTAATCGTTCTGTTCTTCCGATGGTGAGCTCTGTTTTTTTTAACTGTGTATTCCAGTAGCAATTGATACTTTCGTATTACCGTCCACCATATCATCTATTTTATTTTTAAATGTGTTATCTACACACATCGTTTAAATTAATAAATAAATGAATAAAATACACCAAATTACAATCAATAGCTTAAATGTACTAGGTATAAGCAAATATTACGAAACTACAGAACTGAAAAGACCACGTGTAATTATAGGCTAACATTTTTTTTAATCCAGCAATGCACTACAATTCGGATAATGCTTCATACGTCCTTCTAGGATATTGTATTATTATCCAAGAAAATTGGAAAAAATAACTTATTAACAGTTTAAATCTATTATTATATTTACTATTGTTTTTGACACGTAATAGCGGGAAAATCCGCAATGTAATATAACGTATCCCTTTTTAAATTGGCGGTTTATGGGACAGATGTAGTATGATATATATGTCCGTAATATGTGCATATCTATAATAATAGTCCCGCTTTTCTGTCTGACTTTCTGTGTCTAACAAGAACACACAATACACAATTATAATGACGTCAGCATTATCGCCTAATTGATTTGTCTAATGTTAAAAATAGTATACATGTAGAGTTTCTTTCCGTTATCTCCTCTTGGAGGGGCGCCCTCTACCACGAATAACGTTTACCACCCCCCCCCCCCCCCAAAACTAAAGAATTTAGTAGAAAATATGTTTTATCAGTACCCCCCACCCGCCCGATAATTTAGCCAACACCGCGAACAGTTCATAAGCACCCTGCAGAAAGAAAGCTTAAAAGAAACAATGTCTGCTTGATTGAAGTTTAGCGGCCAAAAGTAGGTAAAGTATCTAGATTATAAATCTCCGGTCTACATAGAGTCTGTATGATCAACACATGAGACCAGTGTTTCTTGCAGACGTTTTTTCTCCAGGGGTGGGGGGGGGTTGATTTAAATTTTCCGGGGGTTAGTATCTGGTAGACAAAGGTAAGAGTGTATATTTTCTATATCAATTATAATTCATTAGGGGGAGGATAGACGTTCTTTGAGGGGCTCTGCCTCTCCCCTCCCCGTCTACGGGGATGCCCGAGAATGGGACGCTGAAAATGCTACTCACTATTAATTACGTCATTGTTTATAGAGACAAACAAATAAAACGCCTAATTGTATTGTCTAATTTTAGAAGTGAGTGTACATAAAAAAACACCTCAAAAGTAATATATATATATATATATATATATATAGGTAGGTCGGTAGGTATGTTGGTAGGTAGGTAGGTAGGTAGGTCGGTAGGTCGGTCGGTCGGTCGGTCGGTCGGTCGGTCGGTCGGTCGGTCGGACGGTCGGTCGGTCGGTCGGTCGGTCAGTCGGTCGGTCGGTCGGTCGGACGGTCGGTCGGTCGGTCGGTCGGTAGGTAGGTAGATACGTAGGTAGGTAGGTAGGTAGGTAGGTAGGTAGGTAAGTACGTAGGTAGGTAGGTAGGTAGATAGGTAGGTAGGTAGGTAGGTAGGTAGGTAGGTAGGTAGGTAGGTAGGTAGGTAGGTAGGTAGGTAGGTAGGTAGGTAGGTAGGTCGGTAGGTCGGTCGGTCGGTCGGTCGGTCAGTCGGTCGGTCGGTCGGTCGGACGGTCGGTCGGTAGGTAGGTAGATACGTAGGTAGGTAGGTAGGTAGGTAGGTAGGTAGGTAGGTAAGTACGTAGGTAGGTAGGTAGGTAGGTAGGTAGATAGGTAGGTAGGTAGGTAGGTAGGTAGGTAGGTAGGTAGGTAGGTAGGTAGGTAGGTAGGTAGGTAGGTAGGTAGATAGGTAGGTAGGTAGGTAGGTAGGTAGGTAGGTAGGTAGGTAGGTAGGTAGGTAGGTAGGTAGGTAGGTAGGTAGGTAGGTAGGTAGGTAGGTAGGTAGGTAGGTAGGTAGGTAGGTAGGTAGGTAGCTAGGTAGGTAGGTAGGTAGGTAGGTAGGTAGGTAGGTAGGTAGGTAGGTAGGTAGGTAGGTAGGTAGGTAGGTAGGTAGGTAGGTAGGTAGGTAGGTAGGTAGGTAGGTAGGTAAGTAGATAGTTAGGTAGGTAGGTAGGTAGGTAGGTAGGTAGGTAAGGGGTAGGTAAGGGGTAGGTAGTTGGGGTAGGTGGGGAAGGTAGGGAAGGTAGGGGTGGTAGGGGAGTGAGGCAGGCAGATGGGGTAAGTAGGTAGAGGTAGGTTGATTGGTTACTTGGTTTATTTGTTGTTTGTTTGTTTGGTTGGTTGATTGGTTGGTCGGTTGTTTGGTTGGTCGGTTGTTTGGTTGGTTGGTTGGTTGGTTGGTTGGTTGGTTGGTTGGTTGGTTGGTTGGTTGGTTGATGGGTTGGTTGGTTGGTTGGTTGGTGCGTCATGATAAAATTATATTACATACATCATTGGTTGGTTGGTGGGTTGGTTGGTTGGTTGGTTGGTTGGTTGGTTGGTTGGTTGGTTGGTTGGTTGGTTGGTTGGTTGGTTGGTTGGTTGGTTGGTTGGTTGGTTGGTTAATTGGTTGGGGGGTTGGTTGGTTGGTTGGTTTGTTGGTTGGTTGGTTGGTGCGTCATGATAAAATTATATTAAATACATCATTGTTATGATACGTGTTTTATCAGGGTATGTTGATGCGAATGAGTGTCTGTGCTAGAGATATAACGAATTCATGTTTGATGACGCGGATGAAAGAGAGTGAAGATTTGAGATAAGAACAGGTTGTTATTGTACGCAAGCTAGGGAGTTATGACTAGGGAGAAAGTAAGAGATACTCCGTGTAAGACCGATATCAAATATAGTTTTAAACGAGAATAGTAGTCGAATAAATATTGAATAAGAAAATATTAGGCATTGTGTCTAGCGATTATTGCCTGTATCATTGGGATGTAAATGCTCATGGTAGTGGTATTCCTTAAATGGTAGTAGTCAGGTCTCACAGGAGCCCTAAAAATAATGTATATATGTGTCATCTAGTCAGTTATAATGAGAGCGCTTGGACAGGGTTGATGCTTAACGTGGACGAACAATCCAGTAGAGAATACAGAAAGACGATGCTATATTTCCATCTTTAATTATGTAAAAATACATACGGCTACATGGACAATAGACGGGACGACGACTTCTACACCCCAACATGACGAGAACAAGACTAATTGAAGCTTCTTTCCCGGCAAAAACGAACCTACACTAAAACGTCACTTTCTTGCTTACCGCGTCACCTTTTCACTCGTTGAATATTAGTTTTGTCCGACACCAACTCTAAAAGCCACGCTGCCACTCACTAGAGGGTACAAAACGTGTGGCGTGATGAGCAGTGACATGGTCGGACACGTGTCTATTTTCGTTGTGTTTATTTAATTGTGAACATCAAGCAATTTAAAAGCTGAAAGTGTACAACTCGAATGTGTGTAACTTTAGTTTATTATCTATAGTTATTTGTTTAGCAATGTATATATATATATATATATATATATGTATATATATATATATATATATATATATATATATATATATATATATATATATATATATATATATATATATATATATATATATATACCACTTATATATATATATATAGATACCACTTATTCTAAAGGAAATAATTTATTTTCGAAACATTCAGGAGAAACATTTAATTTTATAAGCTACTTTGTTAGCTTTACATTTAAAAAAAAATAAGTGTTTGTTTATTGTGGCACACATGGAGCCACTTCTAATGCTTTAATTTGGTTCAAACTTTGAAGACAACAAATTATTACCTAATTAGATAATACGTATGACGCCGGCTAATGTACCACATTATCTCTTGATTTACCGAAGTCACAGAAACTCTACACAATATTCCTTATCGACCACCAAGTCTTAGATCAGTAGCAGCAAATATTAACTTTTAATAAAAAGCAATACTGAAATGTAAAATAAAAATCCAAAAAGATAATTTAACATCGACTTTATATGAGGTGTTTTCTTATAGAATAGCAAAATAGCATAATAGAATGTCTGATATACGCGAGAAACCCAGAAATTGAGACATTGTCATGTTTTTGCATTAGAAATTATAAAAATTATATCATAAAACAAGTGTAAAGAATACAAAAAACAATGGCATGAGTTAGGTTACATATGAAAACATAAAGAGTTAAAAGATATTTATACTTTAATTAATTGAAATATATAAGCCTGACAAAATATTAATTAGAATACGTTTACCTGATAATAACACTTCAGTTAGGTTTGTTTCTGTTTATGATACGAATAAATCAAAGAACACGGTTTTATACTTTTTATTTAAATATGTGTAAACAAAGATATTGCTGGTATTTCCAATATAGAGTAAGGCGTAAAGAGCTTGAAACAAGAATTCTTCCAAGTGTCTACTTGTACCCATCACTTCGCCTAGCAGCGTGGAGGTAATGAAGTGTGGATTTGTATCCATCTCTTCGCCTAGCAGAGTGGAGGTGATGAAGTGTGGATTTGTACCCATCACTTCGCCTAGCAGCGTGGAGGTGATGAAGTGTGGATTTGTACCCATCACTTCGCCTAGCAGCGTGGAGGTTATGAAGTGTGGATTTGTACCCATCACTTCGCCTAGCAGCGTGGATGTGATGAAGTGTGGATTTGTATCCATCACTTCGCCAAGCAGCGTGGAGGTGATGAAGTGTGGATTTGTACCCATCTCTTCGCCTAGCAGCGTGGAGGTGATGAAGTGTGGATTTGTATCCATCTCTTCGCCTAGCAGCGTGAAGGTGATGAAGTGTGGATTTGTACCCATCACTTCGCCTAGCAGCGTGGAGGTTATGAAGTGTGGATTTGTACCCATCACTTCGCCTAGCAGCGTGGATGTGATGAAGTGTGGATTTGTATCCATCTCTTCGCCTAGCAGCGTGGATGTGATGAAGTGTGGATTTGTACCCATCACTTCGCCTAGCAGCGTGGATGTGATGAAGTGTGGATTTGTACCCATCTCTTCGCCTAGCAGCGTGGATGTGATGAAGTGTGGATTTGTACCCATCACT